GGAGCGCAGGGCAGGAGGGCCTCCCGGCCACACGTACCACGATCTCGGGGAGGGTCTGCAGCGTGGACTTGAGCTGGTCGGCGGGCGACAGGGTGTCTGGGAGGTACATGGCTCGGGACAGGATGAGCAGCGACGTGGGGATCTCCTGCTGCAGGTGCAGCTCCAGCCACTGCAATTGGAGGCCAAGACCTGGACTCACCTGCCGGCCTCGGCCCACCCACACCTGAGACCTGGCCCTCTGCTGCTCTATCTGTTGGGGGAGGAGGGGGAGAGGGGGCGGGGCAACAGCCACAGTAGGACTGGGGTGGATGGGGCCGATTCACTGCCCCGGTTCCTGACTCGATGCCCACCGGTCAGCTGCACGAGACGCCTGAGGACCCTGAGTTAGCGCCCGGCGGACAGGCCTCCAGGCGCCAAACACTGACGGACAGATTCGTTGCCAGCCAAGTCCTCGCTTCAAAATGGCACCAAGCCCTGAAGGTGGTGTTTGTGAATTCCCTCGGCCGGAGGGGTTTACCACCTACTGTGGGCCCGGCACCACATTAGGCTATTTTAGTGACAAAAAGACAACATTCAAACCGACAAGAGACCCTGACAATATCTGGACAAACTGGACACAAGACAGAAATGAGATGAGAAGGAACTCAAAGAACGGGGAGAAATGCTAAGGAGAGTAAGTAACCAGAGGAGGGAGGGGCAAGAACACTTGGACCGCACGCCCGAGCGAGCTCCGTGAGGCAGGAACGCCGCGTGCGCTCTGGCCCTCGGCAGGCACAGGGCAGGGCCCGCCACGGACCACACAGAAGACAAGCGGAGGCGGAGCACATCGCGAGACAGAGGGGACCGATGCGCTGTGCATTTGCCTCCACCTGGAGGACGCACTGACCCCCCTGGGAGGGGCCGCAGCATGGCGGTCAGGAGGCGGGCCACTGGGCGCCCGCACACTCTCCACCTTCCACCTTCCGATGTGGCAGGCGCATCGCTCTGAGCGCAGCCTTTCCCAGGGCCGGTCCCACCGGGGCGGGCAGAGCTGCCTGAGCCTCTGGAGGGAGCAGGTGCGCTAAAGCCTGGCCGCGGTGAGCCGTGCCCATGTCTCCAAGAGCTAACGTGGCGCTCGCCTGCCCAGACGACGGGAGCAGACAGACAGGACAGGACCGCACTGCAGCCCTGGGAGCCACCGCGGCCT